TTTCAAGGTGCATGGATGCTGTTTAGAAAAAGATAAGATAGCTAAATATCTGATAAAATTATTTGGCACTTGTGAATCTTGCTTAGCATCTCTACGGCAACAGTGTTGATATGCTGTGCGCACCAACTACGTGGCTCTTGAATGGCTGGGCGGGAGTCTTCCATATACACACTATACTCTGATGTATGCCTGTAATGTGTGTGGTAAGTCTGGCAAACCTGTTGGACATGGGGGCTGCCGACAGTGTGTGACTCAGGGTCCTGCATAGGTGTGGGTTAAAGGGGAATCCAGGGGCATGCAGGCTGGGAAAGGAGGGGAATACGGGTGGGTTTTTTCACTTCACACCTCCTTACTGTTTAGGTAATCTCCTTGCTGTAACCCTGCCTTAAGCTTAGAAACACTGGGTTTGTGTCCACACAAACAGATCTAGCTGTGTTTCTGTAATGCCAGGTAGCAGAAGGCTACCTTCCATATGTCTTGTAAAGAACTGAGCTGAAATCCTCTGGCAAAGTGTTTATTTAACACCATGGACCTAAACAGAAACTTCACTGTCACTGTGTACTCTCTTTACATTACCTTTCTGCTCATAAAATTGAGATTTGGTCAGTAAATTAATTCAGTTTCTCAGATTATCATCCAATGGACAGTTACAACACGCTGGGGTATGAGCACTTACTAACAATAGCTGACAACTGAATGCATATCATAGAAAGGAAGTTCATTACTACTTAGCATACGGAAGCCTCTGGCTTAGGAACATTAGCTCATGCCTAATACCCTTCCATGGAAGTTTTGTGCCACTCTTCAGAGCTATAGGCTCAGTTATTCTGTAGGCTCAGTTATTCATTATTCCATCAATTTCAGTGAACAATTTGCTCAACTCCATATCAAATGTATTTATGCCTGTGTAACTTAGAGTTGGGGGGGGGGGTGGCTTGCAATTTTTGCAATTTTTGATTATTTACAGCATCCTTTTTGAGGTTTTACAACTTAGCCAGTTTCTTATCTATTTGTAACAAATCCATCAAAGACTGTTTGTGAAGTTACCTTTAACCAGGACCTGTTTTTGAGTTAACTGTGTTTGTGTTTATCAGGAATCAAGTTTAAAACCAACCTAGTTAGTTGGCCTCTGAGAATGCAGGTGGTTTTGCCTTTAGGAAATTGTTTTAGAAGGCTGTGCCAACTCTTTTACCTCCCTAGACTTGCTCATACTAGTGTGCTCTGGCAAAGTGATTTAAAAAAATGTTTTGGGCAGGATTTTCGTAAATCTGTTCAGCCCAATCAGAAGCTTCATTTAATGGAGCAATGTATAAATAGTGCAGAGTCAAGTGACCATCAGCTGGTCTGAATGGGCTTGACCACTGCAGTCACAGGGTCTGAGGTATGCAGGAGCTGGGATCACTGGAATCATGCTTTGCTGCAGAGATATCCTGGCTGTGGCATAATTATGTAACTGCAGAGGAATTCATGTGTGTAAGAATGTGTTTTAATTGAACACCTGTATTTAATGTTGGTTTCACCTTCTCTGTCGTTACTGTGGGGCTTAAAAAAAAAAGTTACTGCCTTGGTTAACTTTTCCATTTCATTAAGTAGTGAATATTGCGAAACAGCTGAACTCCACAGTTATGCATTTCCTTTATAAAGTGCATTTCCTTTTATAAAGTGTATGCCTACTTGGTTGAAACAATGCACTCATCTGTTTTACTGAATTCAGAACTTAAGACATAGTGGCTCTTTGCCTGAGTTCATATTAGGTAATTAGAAGTTCTTGGCGTGCTTGGTAAACACTGAAATGCCATTGTATTGTGCATTAAGCATGGAGAAATATTTCTTCAGTTACAGTGTCAGTGCACTGAAATATAAGTGTTTTGGCTGTCCCTTATGATTGCATTATTAAGTCTCTCTGAAACAGTCAGCTCTGAACTTGCAGAGATGCTGGCTGGCTTTCTGTTTGGAAAGTTACTGAAGCTAACATGCAGGTAGTCACTTTTTTATTGAAAACATCACCTGCCCCACTTACAAATATCACAATATGGATTCTAATCAAACTAGTAAAATGGCAACTATTTATTTGTGTTTGGTTCATTTGACACTTGTGGCAGTGCTGTCCAGAACAAAAAATACTATCAAATTCAACTTCATGGGAAGAACTATTTTTCAAACCCAAATAACTGGTATTTTGCTTCTTCCTTCCCCACTTTCCTTGGTCTTTATACTGAACAGCTTTTCCCTCTTTTCATTACAAATTTTAATGCTTGCCAGTGCCATCCCTATGCTTAAAATATTATTAACCCATGATGTGAGACTATCCCACAGCAAAACTGGTTGATGAGGACCTGTTTGTTCTCTTTACTGTCAATTCAACAGCTAGGCCTTTGATTAAAAACTTGAGTTACTGACTTTATTCAAACTGGACAATGCATAATCATGAATGCATTGGAGACCTGTCTTGCCTTGATTGATCTACTTAAAGATCATTCAGTCATATTAAACGTATCTTGGTTCAGCAAGTAAAGGTATGAGTCTGTTAAGAGTTCATGAGTGTGCTTGTCACCTGCCTTGATGCACAGTACACATCCAGAAGAGTAGTTTTTCCTAAATTTTACTAGATCTGGTGAGGTACACAGTTGCCTCCTATATTTTTGGCAATAAACCTTCATATTAGTACAGTTCACCAGTGTCGAAAGCTTTACCCATGGGTTTTATGTATGACAGCTGATGATTCTTTTTCCTCAATAACTTGGTATTTTTTGCTTTCATGAAGCAGTAAGACTCGTCCCTGCACAAATATCAAACCCAGACACTGCTCAACTGGATGTCAGGCTTCATGTCCCAGGGTTATGGTACAGCTTGGGACTTCATTTTACATACATGTGAAGTACTCCCAGATCTGAGATGTTCACAAACCACCTCCCTTTCCTATTTTGCAAGAGCTCTGGACTTGAAGTAAAACTTCCTTTTTTTTTCTGTGGGGTTTGACTTTCTCTTGTAGGGGGTACACAGGCACACCCCACTGCTTCAGCAGTCAGGGGGTGGTGAGGAAGTGCTGCTTGGTGGCTGCCCCTCAGCATGGCCTGCCCTAGACAGAGGGTGATGTCTGCATTAAAGGCTCTGCTCTTCCCTTTGCTCCTCTTAATTGCAAGGGATCTGGCTAAAACTCACAATGACTGAATAGTTGATAATAGATTAGAAGCTCTTTCATTAAATTAAAAAAAAAAATCTAATTTAAAAGTAACACTTGTAACAGAGTCTTGTAAATCTGATGTCTGAACCTCTTGGCCTCTCTTTGAAGACACAGTGACTGTACTTTCTCCAGCTTACTCCAAAAGCCTGCTTGATTGAAGGTCAAAGAGGAGATATTCCCTCTGGCTTCCCTGGGCAGCCACAAGCCAGAAGTGGCAGTGGTGGAAAAGCTCTGTCCCTGTATGGGATAGGGTAGGATGACCCTTGCCTCCTGCATGCTGCTAGGCTGGAACTGAGGGTGAAGCTGGGAGTGTTGTTTGCTCTGAAGCTGGGAATGGCTGTCCCTAGCCTGGAGCATGGTGGCAATATAGCAAAGGGTTATGTTGGCTCGTCTTGACGAGGATTGAAGCTAGGGAAGTGTAAAACTTGCCTACAGAAGAAGAGAGAACTGGACAGGCTGCATTAAATGAGTTATGCAAATCACTGAGGTGAGCTCTTCAGCAGAGAAGTGCCAGTATTCATTTCCCAGCTTCAGTCTGCTGCTCCCATGTTTCAGCATTACATACTTTATTCCTGGGAAGTTTCTGGCAGGTGTGCAAGCTCCTGAGGTTAGCATAGGTACTGTATGTGAATTAAATAATGTTGATTCATGCTTAATAAATGCTGTGTTTCTCCTACACTGGGAGCATAACAGCAGCCACTCTTTCCCAGAAATATATGAAAGAAAGCTGTTCCAGTTATTTCTTTTCCAATAGACCAGTCTTTTAATCACGGATATTATTGCTGTACTCTAGTCAAAGAGTTGAAGATTAGTGGTAAAACTGCTTTAAAAATTATTAAAAATACATAAAAATGCTCTTACCATTACAGTTAGTTATGGTTATGTGTTTCAAGAAACACTTACCAGGCTAGTGACAGTGTTAAAATACTGTCACTAAAGCTGAAAGTCTCGCCAGTTCCCAGACAAAATTTTTACCTAAACAAATACTTGAGATACTTAATGAGCAGTTATACTTGATGGTTATTTTTCTGTTTGTCTTTTATGTTGTAAGAAATAAGTCAGTAAATCTTAATTCTTACTTGAAAATTTCAAGGGGTTTGTTAGAGTATATTTCAGTCACCATCAGAAGGCCAACCTAGGCAAGTGTCCACTGGGATTTTTCTCAGCTGTGCTGTGCTATAGCTGTTTCTGAGCTGGTGGAGAGGAATGGGGATTCCTTCATTTGACAGCAGAGGTGAAGGGTTTTCAAATTGCTATGAATGGGAATTTTTATGCAAAGACTTAATGCTTCACTGCTTTCTAATAGAAGTTAACTCTAAGCAGCTCCCCTCCTTCTGTCTGCTGGATTATGAAGGAATTGTACTTTTTCACATTGTGATGTGGGATGCATTTCCCCATTTCAGGATTACCTCTGTGCCTTTACTTTTATTTACTGAATGTCCTTTCTGACAGGGTAAGAGCAGCCTGGTTTTGAATAATTCATATCTTGCATAATACTGTTTGAGGATTAAGGAGAAATTTAACTTGGTTCTGCTGTTATTCTGCTTCACATTTGTGAGCTTTTGGGAACACGTCTTTAATACATGGGGATGAAACAGGTTATTTTAGAATAAAGATACAAGAACACTGCAAGTACTTTTTAACTATAAAAGCTAATGACTGCATACCTGAGCTGACTGTTCTGGCAACAGACTTTTCTGTTTACTGTCCACAAGAAACCACAGTGCGATAGCAACTGTAGAAAATTCTTTAAGAAGACTTATTTACATAACTGTTTCATATACTGATTACTTTTTTTTCCTAATTATTTTTGCAGGTCATATCGGATTAATGCTGTGGATCGGTCAACCCAGAACATGTAGTTGCCCATCAATCGCTCAGTAGTCAGTGTAGATTCTGTCTTTACAATCAGCAGCTACATCTGGCTACTGGGTCTCTGATGACATCTCCTATCTTCTATCTAGACTTTTTGTTGGATTTTTGTCTTCTCTCCTGGGTGCAGAGCAAGTTCACAGAGTTAACAAGTTAATGCCTGAGGTGTGGCCCCAAATAAAAGATGGGATATCTGTTGGATCTACCTCACTGTGAGAACTGGATTAAATACAGATGGATGTTGTGTTGGAAACCAACAGTCTTTTCTATAGCCTAATGCTGGGGCTTGTTATAGTCCAAATTGATGAGACTATTTGCAGACTTGAGCTAAGAAGACAGCTGGACTTCACTCTTTTTCAATGAAGAATCTTTAACCTCTCCTGAAAAGGATAGGTGTTGAAACAGGCACTTTGGCTTATTGTGTAACTGCCTCTCATTAGGAGAGGAAATGCACTGGGATGTGCACAAATGTACTGTGATGTGCACAGGTGGTTCTCGTTTTCGTTTTTTTTTCCCCTCTTGTCAGTTGTATGAGAAGACTGTCCAGGTTTGGGGCATGAACCTGGCATACAATGTAGATTTCTGTGTTTGTTAAGCAACAGCTACATTGTCTGCTGGGTTTCCAGCTGCCTGGAAATACGAAGTGGAGGGTTATCTACGCACTTTTTGGGTTTTTCGGTTTGTTTGTTGTTTTTTTTTTTCCCTTTGGTCAAGTTACCTCCCTTACATCTCTGAAGAAGACAATGCAGTAGACATCCAATTGCTGCCTTCCCCAGTGATCCAGCCAATGTCAACTAGAGCTCAGAGCCAGGGTAGGTCTGAAACTAGTTAAGAAAAAAAAGTTCAAGGGATTGAAGTGTTCAGCCACCTGAGTGTGAGTAGCTGTCAGGCAGCAGTTAATGACTGCTGTCTGTGTAACCATTAGTTTGCCTTTTAGTTCAGATGGAGAGCTAAGTGTGTGTGCTGTACAGTTAGGGAAATTCTTTTTGGAGAAGAAAGTGAGGAGCTATTTATAGGTATGATTTTTTTTTTAATGTGCTACACATAGTATGGCTTATATACAGGAAGTGATTAGAAATAACGGGAGGAGTAAGATAATGGCTTGAGTGCTGATACCAGCTGGATCTCTTGTTTCTTGAGCAGCACTAAAACCTGTGGGCTTCATTTGTGCACCATATCCAGCCATACAGCAATGAAGCAGGCAGCTTCAGTTTGAGAAGATTAGGCCTGGAATAGCTGGGGAGTGTTGTCCTTTCAGATCTGGACTGCAATCACAGTATTAAAGGGGGAAGCTTGTACAGTGATGTCTGTATGGTAACCCTTCATTGGCAAGCTCTGTTCCATTTGTACTACACCATGGAAATTGGGAGAGTAGTGATAACCTCTCAGAATGAAGCAGTGTGTGATTTGGCTAAGCTTGTCTGTCATTCTGGGCTATACATGGGTGGTTTTAGATCAGCAGGCATCCAGAACTCTTCAAGGGCAACACTTCAGAAGGCATAAGTGTTCCTAATTGAATGCTGCTGTTTAAAAACTGTGCTTTTGTTAAAACAAATAAAACTTCTTGTGCAGAGAACTGTGTGTCTCTTCCTGTTTATTCTTGTCAAACTAGGTTTGCACCAAGTCTTCCAGGACCTAGGGAGTATAAAGCTGTCCATTACAGTGCCTACTGGAGAGAGCCCCTCAATACTTGCATCAGTCTGAGCTCAAGAAATTTGCATTCACTTACTATTTTCTGTATTAAATAAAAATATGCAGACAGTTGCCTACAGCCAATAGTTGGTGCAAATAATCACTCCCCATTGGAATAACTGCATTGTCTGTATATCTTTGAAAGCTGCTTGTTAAGGTTGAACAAGTGTTTATCCCTTGCTCTGTATGTTGTTTTCCTCAGTGCCAGTTTCTTGGCATCTAGGTCTCTGACTATGAAAATTTGGTAAAGACTTGGATATAGCTGAGTCTTCTTAAAATTAGCTGGCACTTTCTCAGTGCTGTTACTGATGTTTTGTTCCATATAGCCTTCTGAGTCTTGACCAGCTTATGCACAATAGTCATAGAAGTGGCACTGTATTACTCTGCACTGTTTCTGTGGCTCATTTCAATAGTATTAAGATATTGGCAGTTTTTGTAGCATTGCTTTGCTCTTATGTCTATAGTTGTTCAACTTTGCTCTTAAGGATTCATGACAGAGTAAGGTGTGTTTATCCCAACTGTTTATATTGCAAGCACCATAAAGCAATTCAGAAGCAATATCAAGCCCCTCTCCTATTCAGTTTCACTTCCCTGCTGTGTTTCAGTTAAACTTGCAATGTCAAAATCCCCTTTGTGGGCAGGTACTTCTGGTTCCTCTTATTTTTCTGTCATGCTACTTGCCTTTGTACACAGACACCTTAAAAAAAAAGGCAAAAAAAAAAAGGCAAAAAAAAGCTTACCCTCCTCTGTTACCTAATTCTGAGATTCTCGTTTTGTTTTCCATGTCCAGCATAGCTAATGGAAATGTGTAAAAGTGGTTACTCCTCCTACAGTGATATTTATTTTTTAGTTCTTTGTTCTTTCTCTTCTGTATGTACTTCAGTGAAACTGGCATAAATGCCTATCCCTTCCTATCCCCTGCTGAGGGTACCATTACTACTCCTGATTAAATGGCTGCTAACAGCAGGCTCCTTCAGCCTCAATGGAGGAAACGGGATCCTGTGACATAACATTTTCCACGTGTTTGAACTTATTAATGGGACTCTAAGGGTTTCCATTTACCTTGAGCTTTCACTCCCAACAACCTTGGATATATTTTTATAATGCTGAGGACTCACCAGGGTGCATGCTGTTTCTCAGAAGGGAAAGTGTCTTGCCTGGCCAGAGCTGTTCCTCTCATTGCAGCATATCTGAAGACAGGTCAATGGTGAGAACACAACTGGTAAAAATCTCAGATATCTCTGTTCTCCAAAAGCCAGAGCTTGGAGTTTGGCATTCAGAGTTAATTCCCTCCCACCCCCTTTCCTGTACAGCTCACTAAGCAAATCAAGCAAATGATGGGAACTAAGACAACAGTGGCAGTTGGATCTGTTTGGACCAGTAGATCAGAGAAGATCACAGCAGTTTTGTAATTCTGTGTTTTCTGTTGTGTCTCAGTTTGTGTGCTGTCTTCCCACACTGATATTTCTTTTAGTTCTCTGACTTTTAGAATTGACTTGACTATCTATTTAAATCTTAATACCAGGAAGAATGGTATTTTTACATTCTGGCTGTAGACAACTACTAGGAAAGCCTCACTGTCTACTATTTCTTTATTCTGTGGTGAATATCTCTGGCCTCTAAGCTGTGTTTTCTTGGCTATGTTTTTTTTTTCTATGTGAAACAAGATTCAAGGAACTGAAAGGCTGCATCAAGTCTGACCTTGGCACTCTTAACAGCGCATGCTGCCATATCAGTACATGGTAGTGACAAATCAATTCTGCAAGTTTCTTCAGGAAAAACTTTGGAGTCATTAAATTTGTAAAACAGCCATAACAAATTTAAAAGGGTGGACTGAGGGGTGGTGTGATCAAAAAACAAAACCATGCTTTAAATAGAACAGAATAGTGAATGGGTTCCTTTTATTGCCCAGAAGTGTGAACAGCCATTCCTAACAGGAGAGCTCCATCCATTGGGCAGGTAGCTTGTAATTAAACTATGGAAACCTTCTCTAATTTGGATCTCTGCTTCTCTCCTGAATAACTGAGCTGATTCTGTGTCTTGTACACACATGCTTTCTCAGGCTAACTGGGTGGTTTGCTGTCTTCTCAGCTCCGCTCAGCACTCAGGAATTCCATAGAAGGTCAGGGCAGTCTTTTGGAAACCTTCCAGCAGGCACCTCTTCTTCCCCTCAGCATGAGCAAGCAATTTTTAAAGGGCATATACACACCTGGGACTCCTTGCCAGAAGTACTATCTTAGCAATGTACTTTGGCGTCTGACTTGAATGACATTGGTGTGTTTGTGTATTTTTACTCTGTAAATATCCCTCAGAGTTAGCAGTGGAAATCGGTCTTCTGAAGTAGTGTTTCAGGCAAGATGGACGGCCCTGGCACCTCTGTGTCATGTCTCTCTGGCCCCTTCACATGGGTCATAAAACAAGTTGTGTAGCATAGAAGTGCTTATATGCAGTGCAAGAGCATTTGTAGTGCCTGTCAGTTGTGGGGTTGTTTGTACTGTGAAATGTTCTCCAGTTTATTGTAAAAATAAACAAAAAACACCAACCCCCTCCCCCCCCCCCAAAAAAAAAAAAACACAAGCCAAAAAAAACAGCTGAACTTTGGCTGTGGGTGTATATAAACAAAAGCTCCACCAAAGAGGTGTTGAGCCCAAGTGGTCCTTGGCATTGGAGAGCCCCACAACTTCTGAACCTATCCTGTCCATGGATAACCAGCTGCTTATAAAAGTACATAATCAGAATTGTAGAAACCCTTGAGATCCAGTTTAATACCAACATTTTTCTCTTGCTGTGTGTCTTACAGCTTCTAGTAGAGGCTCGAAAAAGATGCTGGATTGTTTTAGGAGAGGATCACACTTCAAGGAAGTTGCACGCCAGTAGTGGCTGTCTATACAACAGTGAGTTTCAATTTTAAGGCTCTGAGGAACAGTTGCTGCTCCTACACATTAGCAAACTTTATCCTTTAAGTTAGTAATTTTTCTGTCTCTTTATAAAGTTTTGTTCTGTAGGTTGCTAAGAAACACCCGCACATACTCTATCTTCCATGTGCTCTAAATGCCAGTCTTCCATGCAAAACACCTTTCCAAAATTAGTGTCTGTCAAGCTCCTGAAAGTTAGTGGTGCTGTGATTCAAGTCAATCATGTTGCCTGCTGTAGGTGTTAATTCTCCCATCTAAAGACACTTGCAGAATCATTAATATGGTGAATCTCCAGTTCTCTTTTACCTACAAGAAAACAGTATCTTCTGAAACACTTATACATTAATTCTGGAAAGATAAGTAAATTGCTGGGGGAACACTTACACATCACCATAATGAACACATTGATATTATATCTCCTTAAAGCTTAGTTTTATTTAAAGTGCAGAGTCCTGAAGGGACCTGGGCTGAATCATTAGGTAAATTTCCTGTGCCCCAAAGCTGGCCAACCAATACTGAGTGGATGCTGAGGATGTTAGGGAGGGAGAAGCATTGGAAAGATTTAAGGGAAAGGACTGATGAAAAGCATAGGAAACTCTCCTTTTTTATTTTTTTTTTTTTTTAATTTATATGTATCTCCTAGAAACAAGTATCTATAGCTTCCTTGCCCCTCATCTCTAGAAATTCAGTATACTGTACCACTAGACATACGTGCCATAGCAGGTGTTTTGGTTATTTTTCTTCCTCTCTTTGTCTGTACCTCTTCCCTGCCTGCAGTATAGTCTAGGCAGGTGAGCTGTGCCTGTTCTAAGTACTTACCGGCAGCTGAACAAGGTATTGTGTGCTGAGACCAGGAGCTGCTATTCCTTTCCTTGAGTGAATCTTGTCTGTTTCATGTAGTTCACCTAGGCAATATACACACAGAAGAGCGTGTCCTGTAGCCTTACATGGAGCACTGAGATAACTCTGGATAATTGCAATCTTTGCAAAACATCCACATAAAAGACCTTAAAATCACAGCAGCACAGTCAGGAATACCTCAGCTTTTTAACTGTAGCCTTTCCAATAAGCAAAAAAATGAATGAATGTAAAAGTAAATAAACCTGCCGCTGGCTTTTGTCTATTTCTGTAAGCCTAAGCGACTGCTGCAAAGCACAGTGGCAGTGTTTGTCATGGTTACCTCAGAACTGACTCATGAGCTGTAGGACTAGGAGTTGCAACAACCCTTCCTAATGTCTTCCTCTATTTACTTACAGATAGATCAGCTAGATAAAGACGTGAAAGTTGTACGTGTTCTTGATTGGCCTGTCTGCATGCTTTGCAGAAGGTTCTTGATCCTTTCTGCCACGTAGTCCTGGGGTCTGACAGCTTCATGAGGAATGTGACTTTGTTGCTGACATATGTTTAGCTGCTTTCAGCTATTGGTACAGCTTATGCTAGCACGCCGAGTTGCACGGTTTGTGCAGAGTTCAATCACTCACTAAATGGAACTATCAGTTTTCAGGCTAATGCAAGTTAAATTGTTGAACTAAACTAGTATAAGTATTTAATCAGACTTGGTTAACAGCTTACTGTGGCTTACCTGATGCAGTAAGAGTGATATAACTGAAGTCCTGTGATGGTCACTGTATGTGGCAGAAGCATGGAAGTCTCTGAAGCTTCAAGAGTGATAAAGTATGTTAATCATGTTGTGGGTATCTCATTGGTCTTGTTATGAGTCCCCTGAAACTTATTCTATTCTTAAAGGTTAGTGGTACTCCACCATAGTGATAATGGTGATGGTGGATAACGATGAAAATGCATTTGAGGTACTGGTTAAAAGGTATTTCGGAAGCCAAATTTCTGTAGAGGATTTTCACTTCAAGTGAACTTTCTGGTAATTCAGAAAAATATGGATTTACATGGTGGAATAGAATGTTAAGCTTCTGGGTTTCCTTATGTTTAATAGTGTTATGAAAAAGACTCAAAC